TAGGACTTAAGGTTTTTTAACTTTCACCTACAGATGTATATATATATATATATATATATATATATATATATATATATAAAATATATATATATATATATAAACTTCTGTATATATTATACATGAAATATATAATACAATGTGAATTGTCACACAAAACGTGTAAAGAAGTGTGATTCTTAACTACAGACTCCTCCAACATCGGATGGGTTCATAGCAACCGACTACACAAACCCTAGAAGTACTTAACTCAAATAAAAAGAAGAAATCTTTCTTCTTTTCAGCTCTACATAGTAACTTACAACGTCAGAACTTTATCTACTTACGAACGCTTAATCCAACTTAGCGAAGCACTCAATAGTCAAATACGACATAATTGGATTGTGTGAAATAAGGAGAACGGACACCCGGATAGAAGAATATAATAACTTCATGCTATTCAACACGGGAATCACACCTGGACAAACAGACCATGTCAGGTTTGGCACCTTATCAGCGGCCTTGGCAATGCAACAAAAAAGAGATGTGGCCGTGGAAGGAAAAGGGGAGATCTCCCGCCGGGCTAGGTGTTCTACCCGGGGATCGGCCAACACTCCGTGTGTTCGGAGATGTTCTATATATACTGTTTCTGATTCGGAATGTTGATAGCGTGATTTAGACTTCGGTGTATTTCGATTGTGGCGCGACGACAGCGCCACTACATCACCCCCCTGCTCAGACCGGAGGTCGATAGTGCAGTCTCGTTGTCGACGAATGTGCAAGTGTCAGGAGATTGCCTTGTAGTCTGCGGTGAGTCGAGAAGAAGGCAAGTAATCTGCGAGAGTGCCGTGAAGCAGAGGCGAGCAGTAAGGCTCAGAGCCGTGCCGAACACTGTATGGCGCAGAGAGTAGCTTGAAGGAACAGGAAGCATTATTATTCCAGTGCTGCGATGAACCTTGTGAAGCTAGATGGCTTGCAGGATATGAAGACTGCAGACGATATCAGCTCGGGAGCGAATGGGTGAGGTATTTATATGACGATGATGAAGCTTGAAGTTTCCGAAGGTTGTTGGTTGCGTGTTCAAATCAGGTCGGGGTCACCACTGTGGCCGTGGAAGGAAAAGGGGAGATCTCCCGCCGGGCAAGGTGTTCTGCCCGGGGAGCGGCCAACACTCCGTGTTATAGTTCGGAGATGTTCTATATATACTGTTTCTGATTCGAAATGTTGATAGCGTGATTTAGACTGCGGTGTATTTTTCGATTGTGTCGCGACGACAGAGCCGCTACAGAGATGTTTGCCGTACTGTCTGTAATGAGACAGAACGCAAAGAAGCGCAGAGACTCTCATGTGATCTTACAAACAGACAAGAAAACTGTTATGGCATACATTCGCTAAGAAGGAGGAACGCATTCCATAGGACTCCTATACATATATTTGCGCCATATTGGAAAAATGTTGGCGATTATTTTGTCATTTTGTGCTTCAAAAATAATTATATCCTGTTTCAATTAATTTGTGAAGAATGGAGATACCAGAAATTATACTACATTTTTTTTGTATTTGAATAAATAAAACAAATTCTGGCAAGCTACATTTGGCGTACGGACAATTAAAAATTGTTTTATTATTTCGGGATATCCGCACAATATGGTGGCGGCACGCCAGTACAATATGGCGTCAATTAATGTTGTCATTTGTATTCGCCAGTAATACTGGAAACATTTCGGAACATACCCATGGTCGGTATAGTGCACCTGTCAGGCCGACGTCCGTACCATTACTAACCGGTACAAATGCTGTACGAGGGCGATCCAGCGAGTAGACTCCTGTTTTGTCGTTTCATGCTGAACGCCGACGCAGACGAAGAATTTTTTTTTTTAAGAAACATACTATGGACAAATGAGTCCAAATTTGACCGCTATACTATCACAAACTACCATAATCTACATTACTGGACACTGAAAGTGGACAAAAAACTAAAAGAAACAGCGTCGCAGCGCAAATTTTCTTTAAAAGCATGTTGTGACTTATTTTATGCCATAAAATTTAAACGGACAATTTTCGAAAAGTTTTTGCGAAATGATTTGGAAAACTTATTAGTAGAATCGCCAGAAAAAATAAAAATAATTTGATTTATCAGCATGACGGCTGTCCAGCTCACTTCCGGGTATCGAGAGTAGCTAAATAGCCAATACCTAAACAGGTGGATTGGGAGGGACCCGGACGGCCAATTCCGCGGCCTGCACGATGTCCTGATCTGACGCCACTAGACTTCCACTGATTTTAGTGCCTCTTTGGGGTCACATGAAGGACAACAAGTCTGATTATTAGGGCTTTACCCCCACCCCCCACTGTAGAAGTGCCGGGAATATGCCGTCAGGTCCTGCCGCCTTATAGGGGAGGAAACTATGAATGGCCCAACGGATTTTGTTCATCGTCACCACTCTCTGTGCTAAATTCCAGTCTTCTTCTGTTGATGTCAGTGCATCTTCATGTCACAGGTTTCTATGTTACCACAGAATTTGCGCCACCCTGTTGAGCGTCGATACCTGATACTGTCTACGTGACCCCAGTGAATTCTCTTGTAGAACTTCAAAGGCGTATCTTAAATGCGGCAGAGCAGATTAGGGCTCTTCAAAAATAACGAAAACCAAAGTTAGGAAAAGACTCAGAATTTTTATCCGCAACCAAGGGGCTCATATTGAGCAAGATGTTTATTTTTTAAAAAGCTTAGTAAAAATATTGTGTAAGTTTAGAAAGACGCACATCAGTTTGACTGTACGTTATAAATAAATGTCTTCACTGGGATATTATTATCTTTTTGGATAGCTGATTAAATGAGCATGTTTTCAAAATATCAACACCTGTTCATTTTCGGCCCTACACATGGGTGGTCAAATTTGTAGCATTTTGACTCCCCCTATCACGCCCTGCCAGTAAGTTGTCGAATTCCCAATAAGCATAGTACTATACTTTTCCCTCATTCCACAGTCGAGCGTTTGCACACCTAACGCTATGTAAAGGTTTTAAAGGTAAGAGGGCCTGGTTACTTACTTGTTGTTGTTGTTGTGTTTGTTGGCTCTCTTAGCTTGCAACTTGAGGCAAGGCATTGCCTTCCTATTCATTTTAGTCCCGTATGAGTCTGCATCTGTAGCATTTTATTTCGGGGGCCCGTGAGCTGCAGTAGCACTTACTATCAGGTGAACTGTAAGCTCGTGTCGTTTTAATACCAAAATAAATTAAAAAATGTGATATATTAAATGCATTTTCAATTTTTCTCTATTGTTACGCACATTCCCGTTATGTGAATAAACGAGCACAAGCAGTGGCGAAGCTTCCATAAAAGCCGAAAAGCCGGGCTTGCCTTATTAAAACTGAATCAATCAATAATATCAACTAATAAAATAACTCATAAACTATTTCAATTTTCCCGCGCACCCCACTGTTCGACACATGTCGACCGATACCCTCGTATTGCCTAGCGATACTGCTGCTGTCATAAAAAATGAGTTTTAATAGAGCGATTAGTTGTCTCCCTCGATCGCCTGGGCTTTTTACGGGGCTTTCGACAAGACGATCGCTCTCTTTCTAACCTATGGCAAAATATTCTATAATGAAATATAACTACGATTATATATATAGCAATTAGTATAGAGATTTAAAGCCAGGCTTTAGGAATGAATTTGTTAAAAGCGGAGGCGCGCGGGCAATACGTTTGCAAGTTCATTTCACATTTCGATGTTTATTTACTCTATGTGTTTAGCTTAAGAACCCATTGAGCAAAATACTTCAAAACGATTTAATATTGCGAGTTCAAAATTTATGCTTTTTTAAGGATTTTTAGTGAAAATGGAGGATAATAGTGTTCCTTGTGATGAATTGAAGTGTGTTAAAGTGTGTGTTAAAATGCTAATCGGAGAGGAAAAGGTAAAATCTTTAAACTTTGTTGAGATAATACACAAGGTCAAGAGTGTATTTCAGACTTAACAATTATCGCAATTAAAAAACAGTTATTAGTACAATTAAAACGTTCACCAACATTTTACGTGGACTTAATTAAATATTTCCTTAAGAAAGAGAGACGATTCCACTTATCTCATCTTATCTTACCTCTTATCCATTAGAATGTAAATAATTCGTTTTTTTAATTTTGTACATAGTTTGTACTTTGTTCATGTTTTACTTTTGTTCATTTATTGTATTGGATGTAAATATCTTTTCTTTAGCTTAAACAAACCCAAACGGCTTTCTTCATAGCCACCGAAGCTACGCAATTGCTGATATGTAATTACAATCTATCTAGCAGTAGTATGCCTTCAGTGTGCTTTGTTAAATACGTCCTTGACAGCACTCAATATGAAACTGAAGCGTGGAGACAGATCAAGATTGGCGTATTTTTATAAAACTGCTATAAACAACAATCTATATTTTTATCAATTTATATCTTGGGCTTGCCCTAGTTTGGAGCTCTAGCTTCGCCACTGAGCACAATCACGCATGCATGCGCGTTCTTTGACACGCACGCAAAGACACATTACATTTACGTGGCCCAGGGCAATATATTAAATATTATAGTATAATAAATACAATAAACAGCACTGAAAATGTAGTCAATAAAAATAAAACACATAAATAAACAAGTATATTTTTATTAGAAAAACTTTCAAAATACGGAGCGTCAACACTGTTTACAGTATTTGATGAATATTATAAAATATTTACGACTAACAAATAATAACTCTTCTTAACCCTACAGTTGGACCCACAAGAAACTTAACAATGTATACAACAAAATCAACACTTAAGATTGAAAAGGAATGTACAACTGTAACAAACTAGTTTACCATCTTATTCATGTAGCAGAAATCCTTACATAAAAATAAATAAATGGACTTGTAAAAAGGATATTTAGTAAGAAAATATGATATAGTATATAAAAATAAAAATAAAATCTGAAAATTTAGCAATTTATGCTTAAAGAGCTCTCACAAACATTAGAGTAGATCGCCGTTTACTAAAAATGTTTACTTATTGTAAGTGGAAGCTGAAACGTTTCCACCATGCCCAGTCCAATTGGTATGCACAAACTCGCCCGGATTATTAAGTAACTCGTAAGTATGAGCGCCGAAGTAGTCACGTTGAGCCTGAATAGAAAAAGAGAGGAATAATAACATTAAAAATCATGATAACCTCCTACCTACTAACCTACAACCTCCAATCATAGTTTGCAAAAGGCCTTTCATAACATTTATAATAACAATGATTGTGAATAAAAACTACCGCTTATATTCTGTAGGAAAAAATATCTATTGTTATTAAAAATAGTCAAAATTGAAACTGAAAACGAAATTTTCTTCAACCAAGAGCAAATAGTAAATAAAACAATAAACAGTTACTCCTGACTCAACAAGAAGTTTAAGCTACCATAATGTGAAGTTATTTTCTAAGTTAAAATTTTACCTGGAGTAAATTGGCAGGAAGTATTCTGGAGCGATAAGCATCGTAGAAGGCCAAAGCAGCTGACATCGTCGGCATCGGGACTCCAGATAACGCAGCTTGCGCGATAACACGCCGCAGAGACATTTGGGATGCGGAAACGTTCCTTGTGAAATACGGATCTAACAATAGGTTTTCGAGCGACGGATTCCTCGTAAATGCCTCCTGTTTAGAAAAGATAAACCGTTAACTTTTATTTATGATGTGGCGTCACTGTCGTCGCGCCACAAGCGAAACACACCGAAGCCTAAATCGGCATATACCGGGCAGAACACCTTGCACGGGGAGCGGCCAACACTCCGTGTGATGATAGTTCGGAGATGTTCTATATATACTGTTTACGATTCGGAATTTTGATAGTGCGATTTAGGCTTCGGTGTATTTCGCTTGTGGCGCGACGACAGCGACGCCAGAATACTTTTTTTTTAATTTTAGGCAGACCCCGTCCATCCAATATTCCATATTAGTGACATATAAGTTAATAGTCTACTAGATGGCGTGTGGTAACACATGGAGGCGGCATCTGACTTCAAGCAAAGAGGGACTACACACTACAGCTACAGATGCATTTTTCTTAAAAGTAGGATAAAATGTCTCACAGCATATAATTAATCTCTTACTTTTCAAACCGAAACCAAAAGTTTGGTACATAGATGTTTGACTTAAACTTGAACGGCAGAAATACGAAGGGTGTGATATCAATCCCGACAGACGCTTCGACCACCGAAATCTATACTGTTCCTTAACCATTTAATAATAAATAAACCTGTGCCAAGCAGTGAGGCATTTGCAACAAACCTTCTCTCTTCCCTGTTGTCTGTCTTTAGAGAACTCATATTTTAAACCTCATTTAATCTGGTTGAGAATTCAGATAGATAAACAAATATATACTGTATAGACAGAGTAATAATCATTTGATAAGAATTTATATATGATATATATATATATATATATATATATATATATATATATATATATATATAATATATATAATATTTGCTTCATACAACAAATAACAAAAATTAAATGACATTTAACTTACCTTAATTTTGCCCAAAAAGGAACTCCGAATGATACAACCTCCACGCCACATCAATGCAATGCTGCCATAGTTCAAGTGCCAGTTATTGCCCTAAGTATTAAAATAGACTTTATTGTTTCAGAGTAAACAATCTCAGAAATCACTTTTTTAACTAATTTGTTACTGAAATGTTGACAATTTTGTATTATGCCATGGTAGCTCAGTGGCTAAGCGCTTTCTGTAAATTTCACAGTACGCGAGTAACCAGGGTTCGATCCCCGCCGGCACCATTGAAATTGTTAATTACAATTTTAAGTGCTGATTTACAATTTATTCAGCGGTGAAAGAAAACATCATGATGCGCGATCAAAACGCTTTGGGGCCGCGCGTCGGACTTTTCTTTGCCCAAACACTCTCTCAGAAATGATAGGCCTGTGCCCAGCCGTGGGATTATAGGCTGTAACTTTAATTTTAACTTTTATATTGATCATTTTACACTACGCAAACCATCATATTCATTTACATTGGAAAATAAAATTAATTTACATAACACATATAAAATTTATAACAATAGAAAACTAAACATTAAATGATCATAATATTGCCGTAGGCAGTGGCAGTGTAGTGGCAGTGTAAGAATATCCACTAGGCTATTTCGTCAAGTGGGTGTTAAAAGTCGGTGTGAGAAAAATAATCCAATACATGGGCAACAGCAACTTCATAATAACAAACTAAATAAGTGGTAAAAGTTCAAATTTTGTACAACCATCCTTAATATAAATACAATGAGAACATCATCAATGTAGTCGAAGTCAATTAAATACGCATTATTAAAGATAATATAAAAACTACTTGCCAAATCTTGATATAATTTATATGGGACTACATCATTTTCAAATAAAACACACAAAAAAAAGTCGAATTGAGAACCTATATATATTCCCCCTTTGAGGCAATCTGCGGAGAGCTCCATGTTCAGTATTGACCTTCGACAAGCTGTAATGATATCATCATTGTCATCATTTCAGCCCTTCACAAGTTCACTACTGAACATAGGCCTCCAAGCACGCCACAAAGCACGGTACCGAGCCACCTGCATCCATAGATTTCCTGCCATGGTCGCCCTACACTTCGTCTACCGGTACGAGGTTGCCATTCGTAAACCTTTTTTCCCCATAAGTTATCGGTTCATTGAACTATATGGCCGGCCTATTGCCACTTCAACTTATTAATCTGGATATCCTCATTTCTAAGGTTATCATACAGAGAAATACCCATCATGGCTCTCTCCATAGCACTCTGAGCGACCTTAAGATTCCTCATACGGCCAGCTGTGACTGGCAAGACGCACTGGTTACGGTAATGGATATAGCTAAGAATAACCCTACTGCCAGTGGTATAGTACCAATAATGATGACTGTAACTCATGTTTATTTGTAGCTTAGGAGAAATAAACATAAATACAAAAAAATATTATAAGAATTATGCAGCAATTAATTTAACATTGGGCAAAAAGTTTAAAAATATAAATTACTAGAAGACTTCTTTCGTCACCATTGTCGTAAAATCGTGAAGCAATCCATCCAAAAGTAGAAGTATTTAATAAAATGACACTTTTTTAAATTAATTTAATATATCCCAACTTGTTATTGAACAAAATATAATGTCATCAAAAATATTTATCATAATGCAATTCAATATCCTTTCTTGTACATACCCAAACAAAATAATCCATATAAGAAACAGCCATAGAGGGAAAACAAAAGGCGGTCTTATTGCTATAAAGCAATTTCTCCTCAATAAATTAAGTTCTGAAGCTGTTAAATATATTTTTGAATTAAAAGGTATATATGCAAGATGATGTGCTACTGATTTTCTTTCCATGTATAACGTAACTGATATGATTTAATTACCTTGGCAGCCTCTCGTAAAAGCATGAATCCTTGCGCATAAGAGATAACTTTACTGGCAAAAAGAGCTTTTTCAAGATAATCTATATACTCTCCCTTGTCACCTCCGAATCTAACTGTTGCACTCGGGAGTATTTTATTGGCCTTGGAACGTTCATCTGTTGATTTAGAGTAGAAATTGAAAATGTATCCATTACATCATAAAAGTAATACGACTTCACTTGTTGGTCGAAAAAATAGCTTCTTAATAATGCCCGGTTTACATTATTCCAGTCCAGCATCGAATCCAGCGCTGGATTGCTTACTGGAAAAATGTAAACCGGCACTGGAATGCACTGAATCCAGTAAGCATTCCAGTCTAGTAACTAAATTGGCGGTCTACTTTTGAATCCAGTGCAACTGGAATAATGTAGACGGCCAATCCAGTGCCATTCCAGTGCCATCACTGTAGTGTTCACACTTCAACAGCTTCTAAATAACTGCAATAATATAGACGTCACAGATCCAGTCCAGCAGTGGACTGGATTCTCACTGGATCGCTGGACTGGAATAATGTAAACCGGGCATAAGAAGCACTTACTTCATTCTGGTAAGTGTGGTGTTGAGTAAAGTAGATTGTAACAATATTATGTCAATGATATGGATAATGATGAAGTTACTACTACTAGTTATAGGCTGATGACTAAAGAAATGTACATACAATGTTAATAGCCTTAATTTTTTAAATTGCCTTTGTCATTATTACTAATAACTAACTAACAATGCTTAAAGTTTAATATATTTATTAACTTTAATTATATTTCTCGTAATTTAAAATATTGTTAGTTAAACTTACTAAGAACTTTGTACATTAAAGTAATCCTAATATTTCTAAGTTTTTCTAATAATTTGACTGTTGCAGTATTCTTGCAATAAACCTTTAAAGTTGAATAAAATTATAAAAATGTTATTTGGTTTGCTTGTCAATTTAACTCATTTTTGTCAGTAAATTAAATAAATTAGTTTAAGATTTCCTATTATGAAGTAAGCCTTTTTTTGAATTGTTTAAGTGATACACCAAAATATGCACTTTATAAAAATTTACCTTTAAGTGCAGAAAGGCAACGAGCAAAAACGGCTTCTGCAATAAGTGTGACAGGAACTCCATACTCAAGTGCACTATTGACCGTCCACTTGCCTGTCCCTTTTTGACCAGCAGCGTCTCGAATCTTAGGTAACAGATACTCATCTGAAACATTTAAAAGCATAATACTATTTTTTTAAACACTTATTGTTACCAGTCCTCTATGTCTGTAGCTAGGCACAGGTAGATTTGCTTATATAATTATACTGAGCATATAGATTGGAGATCAAAGCTGGCATTTAATGAGCAGCAGCATAATAAGCTAAGTTATTGCTATACTTTAAGCATTATTTAACTATGTGGTAAGGCTCTTATCCTTCCTACGCAATCTGTCGGGGTTGCTTGTTATGTTTTTACCTACTACTGGGCTCTTTAGTCAACTACAGATTGCGACGGCATTTCATCTTAATTCTCTGAGCTGTCGGAGGGCAACATACCCGTGGTTTTCTTCTTTTGAAGTTGTTCACAGTGGTTCATGAGCAAAAGTAGCACATTACAACAGGTGAGTTGGTAGCCCACTTCTTACTTTAATATAATTTAAAATAAGTTAAATGATATTCAAATAAAACTTTATCACTATCATCTCATCTGGATATTTTTTTTTATAAATTGAATATATTCAAAAGTGAATTTTTAATTTAATCAAAACTGAAGACTCCCACTCTGAGAATGCCAATTTGAACTAATATTCAATTACACAATCATTTGATTTTGAGGTGACTTTGATTACCTCTATTTCAAATGAAATTCCATTTATTCAGGTCTCACTTATGTGAGTAGTAGACTGGCTGATATGCAAGCGGAAAATTAATATTTCTGTATAAATGTGGCTTCGGCTGATTTGAAACCATGACTCATGCAATAGGTAATGCAATTATCCTTTTATTTTGACAGCATTAATATCATTAATAACATGATATTCACAATACTAATAAGCCATTTAAATAAAAATAGATTATTGTCATTGTTTCGATGACATTTATGAAAAAAAAACCATTACAATACAAATTTACAATTTTGGATATTAGTAGTATAGTTGTAGCACGAATGGGTCAGCTCAACCGGGGGAAGAACCACGCTCACAAAATACCAGCGTAAAATAGTAGCTTAATGCTGATGTGTTTCGTATGGTGAGTATAAAGAACCGGAGGCCCTTTTTACTAGAAACGAGGCATTCCATCTTAGTCCTCACGGGTGAACGCATTTGCATCTTGATTCGTAATCGAGGATAGATGTAGATGTGGACATGGGCCACAGCAGTGACATACCATCAGGTGGACTGTGTGCTTGTTTGTCACCCTATCATATAAAAAAAACAAATATGATTACTTCTATATACCTACCATCAGAGTCTTTGAATCTCAAAATATTAGCAGTGATATCAACCAAAAATGAATCCAGAACTCTCTTGCCCCAGACTTCAAAAACTTTTGCAATGTAACCTTGGTCAAGATCTGTAATTTAAATAAAATTAATATCGAATTCTTATCATTTATTAATAATGACTTTATACTAAGCAGAAAAATGTGTATATATATATATATATATATAAAATCTTTAATACTTACTAAGAATATCCTTCATAAAGTGATAGGCTTCACAAATTATTTGCATATCTCCATACTCAATTCCATTGTGTACCATTTTAACAAAATGTCCAGCACCATCCTCTCCCACCCAGTCACAGCATGGTTCATCATCTACTTTTGCACATATTGCCTGCAGATTTATTTTGGTATAAATTTCTTCGCATTCAGCGATACATGCACAAAACCATAAGCCCGTGGTGCATAAAAGATTTAAATAATGACTTTCTGGTGATATAACAAGTAATTTCTTTGTATTTATACTGATTTTATTGTTTTTTGTTCTATTATTAATTTATTATCGACGTTTTATCAGTCTTATGACTCCAAAACAAAGATTAACTTTCGAATCTGACTTATAATTAGTCTATCCTTATAAATTAATAAATTTGTTGACAATGTTAGTTAATACCTGATATTTGATATGTATAATTGCACATGCATTCATGTATTTGTTTGAAATATTAGTAATAAAAATAATTTACAGGACTTTCTTTCTGAACATCATTGATATACCTCAGGCTATGTATATAATGTTTTTTTACACTAACAAAATTTCAATATAATTATTATAATATTATTAAAATGTTTACTAACTTGGAATATAGGTTTTACTGCAGGCCAAGCATCAGCATGGCCACCAGGCATAAGAGAGGGTCCATAACGTGCTCCATCTTCTCCCCCACTTACCTTAAGAAATAAGTTACATTAAAAGAATGTCTTCCTCTAAGCTATATTTATACAAGTAATAAGAATTTCTAGCATTGATTTAATAAACTTACTCCCATTCCAATATATAAAATTCCAGTTGATGACAACTCCTTGCACCATCTCTGTGTGTCTGTATACTGAGAGTTACCACCATCAATTATAATATCTCCTTTCTCAAGCAACGGTAACAATTTTTTAACAAATTCATCAACAGCTGAACCCGCTGCAAAACACAACAATTTTTATATATCTTGCAATCTATATATCTTTACAATAAATATTGTTAATTTGTTTAGTTTTTATATATATACACTCTTACAACGTATGTTACTTTTACAATTCCAATTAATATAAAAAAATATTAGTGTAACATTTGTTGATGAATTAGAATTACTTAATAAAATCCCAATAAATTTCCAATCAAAAGGAATGGATTTCATGTCATACCATTGATTCCATTATCTACATTTATCAATCATGCATAACGTAAATGCAGTTTTTAAAGCAAATTATGTCATCAGTTCATACTAACAACCAAATTTAGAGCATTTGGTTCCTATAAATCAACTTGTATCCATGCTGTCAGATACACCAGGGCTATGGATATATTACTATGGATGACATGCTCTGTTCTTGAAGGTCCCTAAGTCGTATCGGTCCGAAAAAGCCGCCCGTGGTAAACAATTCCACAGAGAAGTTGTACGAGGAAGAAAACTCCTAGTAAAAGGCAGTGGTGGATCGCCAAGCATCCAGTTCCAGATAATGCGGATAGTATCTTGAATTTTGACGCGATGTGTGTTCGTGAAATTTGGCGGCTGAAACTAATCCGAAAAATTCCTCAGAACACTCCCCATGGCAGATGTAACATCCCTACGCAGCGCCAGTGTATCTAGCCGATCAGAAAGCACTCGGTCGTCGACGATTCGAATCGCTCTACGCTGGATGCGGTCAAGTGGAAGGAGCTGGCACTGGGGTGCCACTTTCCGTGATGGATATGTTCCACAAATAATCGCGTATGTCGGGGCGTTAAGATTAAACATAGTCAAAATCTAATACAAAAAAATACAAATCATTTGAATCAATCACTTTAAGAACACTTTATGCAGTATAATTAACTTTTTTTTTACTGAAAAATGCATCTATTGTCTTTTAGGTAGTGTTTCCTTTATGTTCTTTTAAAATGTGTTTATAACACTCAACGCTGTTTTTGTTTGACACACAGAAATAAATCAAAACTCTGTCACTGTCACTATGTTCTGCAATATGTCCAAACCTGACTAAATTTTTGACAATTTGATAGTCCGCTTGAATATAAAACTCTCTTCTGCTTGTTCTAACTCAACGTTGATGGGATTATTCTGTAACTCGATCAGATCTTCATTGCTGAGAGGTCAGTCATGCGTTGCTACAAGTTCTTGCATGCTTCGATTACATCTGGCGAAAGATTACGCCACACAATGTTCACACAACTCTTTTTAACTTCATTCCAAGCCTCGTCTATGTTGTGAATAGCAATCATGATGTTGTATTACAGCCACCACTCTCGCATAGACTATCTTCCTTCTCCATCAGATTCATGAATTACATGGCTAAAAGTGCAGCGATGGTAAAGCTTTGAAGTTTGCTATTGCTCTCTGGTCCATAGGTTGTAATATTGACATAATGTTTGACGGAATGAACTTCATGTACACTTTTAAATCTCTCGGCATATCAAGTGAGATTGGATATCCTGGGACATCATAGTCTAAGAGTAATATAACTTTAAGTTTAAGCCCATTTCTATCATATTAGAATTTGATTGACTGGTGAAAACTATTAGAATACCAATCTTGAAAAACTTCCCATGCATCTTTCTGTTGGACCTTCACACAACTGGTGGTACGAGGGCGGCACTGAAAATTTCTGGAATCAAGGAAGTGACACAACATTACTATCTAAAAATGTATTTATTGCTTTTCAAAGTATTCTCCGCGAAATTTGACACATTTTTCCATACGATGGAACCAATCATTGAAGCAACCATTCCGTTCGGAATTTGGGGTCTCCAAAATGGCCGTTTTGTAGGCGTCCACAGCTTCTTCAGGTGATTAAAATCTCTGTCCACGCAATTTATTCTTTATTTTAAGGAAAGTATAGAAATCATTAGGGGTTAGGTCGGGGCTGTACGGCGGATGGTCTAATAATTCTATGTTTTATTGCTCTAAAAACTCTTTTGTTCTGTGTGCGGTGTGAGAACTCGCATTGTCGTAATGGAGGATGATGCGGCGGTTGCAGTTCTCTTTACGGAGTTCAGAAACGACCTGTGGCAAAAAAATGCTAGCATACCATTCTGCATTAACCGTTCTTTGTCCCTCAAGAGGAATAGTCGTACCATGGCCGGTTTTGGAGACAAACGTAGCCACCATTTTTTTTGCAACACTCCGTGAACGAACAATTTTTGTTGGCTTTAACTCATTTTCGAACACCCAAACTCGTGACTGGTTTTTTGTTTCTGCTTCGTACGCGTATATCCCGGATTAGTCACCTGATACGATGTTGTATACAGCGTTTGAGGATCCTGTGTGGAATCTTTAGAGTTCTGACGCACCAAGTAACGCGAGCCCCTTTTTGCTCTTCACGGAGCGAATGCGGTATCCATCGGGAAAACAACTTTTTTACACCTAATTGTTCATGCAAGATTATTTGTATTTGACTCATGCCAATGTCTAAAGTTGCCTGAATTTCGCGGTATGTCACATGTCAATCTTCCTCAATCAGCTTACGCACAGCTCAACGTTTTCTTGGGTGACTGCAGTTTTTGGACGACCTTGACGGGGATCATCACTGAGCTTGACACGTCCACGTTGAAATTCAGCAAACCAGCGATAAATTGTGGTTTTGGATGGGGCTTCATCTCCAAATACAGAAATCATCCGGTCAACACACTGTTTTTGTGTTAAACTACTTTGAAAGTCATAAATAAATCATCGCTCTTGAATTTTCTCGAGTCAATTCCATTTTCTCAACGACTAAACAAGTTTGACAAAACCTTGTGACAAGACCGAGAATATTTTTTTTTAATAAATAAATGGTATTCGATTTTTAAAACCAAGGAGTTTTCAATTAAAAAGATTTTAATACGACAGGAACAGTGGAAATATTCCATTCCCGATACTTTTAGTGCAGCCTAGTAGGCTTGCCTTCTATGTACCTCGCATTGCACGGGGTGTTTTTGTTGTACACCAGTAAAGGTTTCAGTTTGAAATCACCAGTGGCATTACCACCCAGAAGTGTTAGTCGGTCTTTCGCAGCTTTGAAATCACTGGCTTGACATTCTTCTTTGGAAATAAATGTTTGAGATTGCATTTGTTTTCTAGTAAAGCCTGAACTCATCAATATTGAAGATGAGACAAGCAGTAATTTTTAAGAACTCTTGAAACTTGTCAGCTTGAATGTCTGCACTAGCGGCCTGAATGAATACCAGCGTCAAATAGTAGCTTAATGCTGCTGTATTTCGTATGATGAGTGTAGAGAACCGGAGCTCCTTTTTACTGGAAAAGAGGCATTCCATCCTAGTCCTCACGGGTGACAACGCATCTGCATTTTGATTTGTAATCGTGGATAAATGTGGATGTGTATGGGCCGCAGCAACCACTTACCATCAGGTGGAGTGTGTGCTCGTTTGTCGCCCTATCTTATAAAAAAACGCTGAAACCGGCGTCTGCTGGTAACAAAAATCGGAGTGGAACTCTTCACCTTCTCTGTTTTAATCATCTCATACAAAGATTGATTTGACTTGACTCATTGATCTTGACTCAGTGTGTTGTGTTCTTCTTATTTAAATCTTTGATCCAGACTGCCAGCAACTTAGCCATTCTTTCTAGCAAAGAGGATCTCGAACGAGAAAGTGCCATTTTCCTTTAACACCTTTTAGGTTACGCTTTTACGCTCCTTTCATTTTTAACATAGTCTTAAATTATTTATCTCCACCAAACATTAAAACATGACTGCAAGCCCAGATAACAATATTAAACAAACTAAACAAACAAAAGAATCTCCATAGAAAAAGTCATAGGATGGGGTATTCCCCATCTATCAATCAGAATGGGCAGAGAAAGCGGGGATTCCCGCAAAGTGAAGTCAATGACTACATTATGAACATAAAGGGTGTCCAGTGGAAAATTTTCAACTTTAAAATGTCATATAAAAAAACTACATAGATTTTATTTATTTTTATTAAAACAAAATGTACAAAATTAATGCGGATTTCATTTCTTAAACACTATATCATTTAAATGATAACCGTTTTTTTGTACGCACTCCTGTAGTCGGACCCTTACATTTGCAATCACGCGACGGCAAAGCTCTGGAGTAATGCTTTGAACTTCACGACGAATATTGGCCTGCAGGGCTTGAATTTTCCGGTGATTGTTCTCATAGACCTTCGATTTAAGGTATCCCCATAAAAAATCACAGGGCGTGAGGTCGGGTGACCTGGGCGGCCATGAGATGGAGACATCTATTTGCTGATCAGTTTATTTGGAAAAATTGTTCTTAACTTTTCCATCGACACCCTAACTGTATGCGGAGTGGCACCGTCTTGCTGAAATAGTGTCCTATTGTTATAACCTTCATACAGCTGTAATTGCGGTAGCAGAAATTCGTCTATCATACGGCAATACACCGGAGCAGTGACTATTTCTCCTTGGTTAAAAAAATAGGGCCCAATTACACCGCTAGCCGAAATGGCACACCAAACTGTGGTTTTCAAGCAATGTAAACGTTTTTGGTGGCGTTCTCTTGGGTTGTTCGGGCACCAGTATCTCATATTCTGTTTATTTACATATCCATCAATGTGGAAATGTGCTTCGTCACTAAACAAAATGTTTCCCAACGTGGTAGGTGTTCGAAAGCGTTCCAGCATTGTTCTCGCGAAGGTTTCTCGCAAAGGATAGTCACTTTCGTTGAGACTCTGAACAATTTGCATTTTGTATGGATGGAGTCTTAATTTCTTCTTCAAAATAACATGCACTGTTGACTTTTTGATTCCTGTGGAGGCTGCAATTTTCCTAATCGACTTGCGTGGATTTTTAATGATTTCATTTCGAACTTCAGACACACGTTCGGGCGTTGCTGCTGATGTTGATGGTCCTGGAGGAGTTTTGTTGAGCGTTGTCCCTTCTTGCCTAAATTTTTGTACCCACGACCAGACAAGTTGCGTGCTCAGCCCATCACTTAAACGCCGAATATTAAAATGAGTACAAAACATTCGACGCGTGCGAATCAACGATTCACTATTCTTTAGATATTGCTCAACCGCGAACGAGCGGTGCACTCCTGTCCAGTGATACCCCTCCCGCCCAGCTCACCCCGCTATTATTTCGACAGTTGCACTTTAAAGTTGAAAAATTCCCGCTGGAAACCCTTTACATATACATATATAATTATAATATTATTATGTACTTTAATCTAAAATATGTATGTGTATCATTTAATTAATTGGCATCCTACATTTTACTAAATGTTGATTTTCTCATCAAATGAAAATAATGATGTCTTCAATATACTATACAAACGTGTATTTTAAAGATATAAAATCCGTTAAGAGGGACCTGGTGACCTATAGAACAGGTATTGTTTAATACCTTTATTAGGCACCAGTCTCTCACAAACTAGGGTTCAATACGTTTATAGTGGTGGAGCGACGAGCCTAAGGTTACCGAAGTCCAGGCTAAAGCGGATATACTAGCGGTGCGCGTGGGCAATAGCCCTTCTATGACACTATTGTCTTAAGCGGTGTGGTTCCAACGACGAGCGCGGCGGGAAGAGAGTCCGCCTCGGCCGCGCGTGCCTTTTTATTACCTCGGTTGCGATGATCGCATAATATTCTGGAATCATCTTCTTTCCCCTCCCACCCCACCACCCCGATGTGTCGATAGGAGGGTATGAATGATATCGTTTGGAAAGGGATAAACGATTTGGCGAGCCTACCGTCAAATATAAATAAATACGAATGGTTTTCCGCGCAACCATATAGTTTAACATGTTTGTCATCAATAATTTTGTGCCTGTGTGTGATGAGAAAATAAATATAAATTCTATTCTATTCATAATGCAGTCATTATGTATATAAGCTTAATACTGCTGTGTTTTGTATGGTTAGTATAGAAATCCGGAGAGACCCTTTTTTACTGGAAATGAGGCATTCCATAGTAGTCCTCAGGGGTGACAACGCATCTGTGTTTTGATTCTTAATTGACGATAAATGTAGAATTTTATGGGCCACAGCATCCACTTGCCATCGCAGTAGACAGTGCGTTCATTTGTCACCTTTATTCTATAAAAACTAGCATATTCTTAAGTAAGTAATTTGCATAATGTGAAGCATTTTAACGCAAAATTTGAAATTCGCGTTAAAACGAAACCGCAAATAGCGGGGTCGCCTAAAGCGGGGTATTACTATATATTTTTAATATATGAAAACTGCTGTTGTATGTTATATTCTCACAACCATATTTTAAGATAAGGGTATAAGACTAGATCATTCTTTGGCAAATTGTATAGATAAAAATAGTCAAAAATAAACATGTACAACTTAAACACAACAATTACACGCATGACATGCAGTTTCGGCACGCACATTCTGCCTCTATCCCCATGCCTCCTTCCTTCCTAGTGGCCAATCACTTGTTCCGTGTTCCCTTCCTAGTTCTAAATTGTTTGGTCACATAGCAACCGTGTAATTATGTTTCATTCTCACCTTTGACTAACAACATTACTTTTCTTGGTTTCTTCAATTTCTGCACCATATCTTCTAATGACTTGGCCCCAATAACTTTTGTGCCCTTTGCTTCATTAGCTAAAAAGTGGTCCACCTAATATAATAATGATAATGTTAAGTTACTGTGCTTTCACCTTACTCTGTATGAATATAAATTTATGAAAGCATTAGATTTAAATATTAAAATTCATATACCTTCTCAACTGTTCTGTTATATGCACAGACTACAAAACCTTTAGAATCCATATTGAGGATTAAATTTTGTCCCATAACAGCCAAACCGATCAGGGCAATATCAGCTTTAGGTCTAGAAAAGCAAAGATAGAAAAATGTAGTAGCTGCATAACCGAATCACAATTTTTTATTACCACAAGTAAATGAAAAAATAGGCAGATTATAGATTCAAACAGGAACTTTCCATTATCAATCTTACCAAAAATTTTTAAGCTAATTTTTAAATAATAGAATAATTTAAGAACAAATGACATAACTCATGTAGTCCAAGAGCGAGTGAACCCTCCGAGTAACGGTCTTCCTGTAAGGTTGGAAATTTGTACACTTATCATTTATAGCATGCTAAGGGCAATAGCCATGACCTGGCAGGCGTCAGCCCTGCACGTCATCTGCCCCTTTGTTTTTTAAATTGTAAAATAAATTGAGTACATAAACTTGTTTTTGTAAGCTTAAAAATTTAATAGGATATAGTTTATTTATTGTAAATCTTGAAAAAAAATTGACAGGCGATTGCAATGAGCAAAAGTATGTGACAGGTGAATTGAAAACAGCATAGTTGATGAGGTAAAATAAACTTTCTCCTGTATAGTTGAAATTATGACAGACGGTTTTGAATAGTATAAGACCTTGACAGGCGAGGGGATAGATTTTAAGGGTGTGCGAGTGAGAGGTAATAAATAGCATAGTGAACTTAAATTACAAACAATGCCATACTTATAGTGTCCACAATAACTCCATGATCTTCAATATAAATGATAATTGTGCCAACATCATGAAGAGGCTGATACCAAAATAATATACCATACATGCCAAATGAATGAAGATGTATCCGATGTGTTAATAAAAACATGTGACACAGACATTTTAATATTAATGTTCAGAAACATGGACCATCTTCACAATAATAATTTATAACTGTATATGGAATATGGCACTAATAACTTCAAAAAATGGATAAATATTTCAGAACTGTATACAAAATTGGACCCTTCTATAGGCCAAAGCTTACCGGGATTTCATGCATTGACCGGTTGCGATGTTAATCCGTCCTATTTAAAAAGAGGTAAAAAAAAGCGGTTCAAATATTGCAGATATGTAGGGAGTATCAGAAGGCGTTCAAAGCATTAGGAAATGAAGAAGTAGTAGAGAAGAAACAAGAAATTTTTCCGATACTCGAGAAATTTGTATGCCAAATGTACGGTTCACAATGTTTGAAATTAAATGATGCGCGTTATGAAAAGTTCCTTGCTACATATAACACAAGTAATCCTAAAATATTCATGAAAATTAATATGTTATGATTCATCAAATCTACCTCTGTGCCAATGCAAACTGCAACAACAATTATTAAAAACTGCATATATTACAAATATATGGCGAAATTGCCATTTAAAGGAATCAACAACTCTCACCCCTGAAAATAATGGGTGGCACTTAATTGATGGTCATTACGATTTCAATTGCTTTGAAGGGAATACGGCTCCTTCTTCTATATATGACATACTTTTATTTTACGAGAGCCTACTGATACTGCCGAAGCACAATCAACTGAAACTGAGAAATACATTACAGGTAACATACAATTATTTTATTTAATATGAATTAATATACAGTCCTATGTAATTGAGTTTGATATTCAATTCTTAATGACCTTATTGATTTATTAAAATATTTTTTTCTATTTTCAGAAAACATTATCGAAGAGTCAGATGATGATGAAAACAGTAGTGTAATGAAGTGTCAGATAATGATGAAGAAAATTAATGTAAAAACTAATGTAGATTACATCACAATTAATGAAATGTATTGTAGTTATCATTTTTGTTTTTATTTTATATCCCTTGCACTATATGCGTTCACGTAACACCTCTTACACGCACACCCTTAGCAGCTTCCCCATCATCTGTCAAGGTCTTATGTTATTTAAAAAGCGTCTGTCATTTTACACATTTATTTTAAAACGTTTACTCAAAAACATATTCAAATTTTAACTATACGAGAGAAAGTTTATTTTACCTCATCAACTATGCTCGTTTCAATTCACCTGTCACATACTTTTGCTCATTGCAATCACCTGTCAATTTTTTTTTCAAGATTTATAATAAATAAACTACATCCTATTAAATTTTTAAGCTTACAGAAACAAGTTTATATACTCTATTTATTTTACAATTTAAAAAACAAAGGTGCCGATGATGTGCAGGGCTGACGCCTGCCAGGTCATGGCTATTGCCCTTGGCATGCTATAAATGCTAAGTGTACAAATTTCCAACCTTACAGGAAGTCCATTACTCGGAGGGTTCGCTAGCTCTCACAGAAATCTAAATAATAAGACAATAGAAATGCCTTCTACTGTCTTTTAATATAAGGACGCATGTCGCCAGGTCGTAGCTCTCACACATAGACAAACAATAAATACACAATTACACCTACAAATATCTCTAGCATTCATGCAACAAAGATTAATCTATAAACTATTGCATTAAGGAATATTTTATAAAAACGCAAAATCTAAGGAGGCGTAGCCACTCGGTCCAATAATTAAAGTGTGCAAAAAACAGAGAATGACATTGCGCGCTCGCTCTCACTTGGGCATATTGCAGCCCAACGCACATTTCAATACCTTTCTATTAAGCACCATTGATCTTCCAGGAGTCTCACACCAAGATATAACTAATTAACTGAAATCAACTCAGTAATAGAAGCTTTTAGTCGTAGCTTTAGCTTTTAGACGTTTTATAATTAGAAAAGAAGGGGATATAATAATACGTTAAGAATAAATATATCCATTTATACATGTATGGGGGACATATTTTTTATTAGTTTTAAAGATCTGTAACTGACTTTCTGTCGTTTGCTACTTTCCAGTTTCCCGGCTTCTTACAGATCATATTAAGACCACTATCCTTACAATATAATTACTTATCCTTACAATATAACTGATTAAAAATATATCAAGTAATTTAAAAGTATAAACAAACAGCCAATAAACGGTTAATGGTACAAAATATTTAGAAAGAAAAAAAGTATAAAGGTGTAAATAAATATTTAACGAAAAATCACTTTTAATTCCTGTTTCATTAAAACTAGGTAAGCCAAACATAATAAATTATCGACACAAAATAGTTGTGTCATGTAACTGACTTGCATTCGACTCCTGCGGCCATGTTCTAGGAAAGACCTTCAAATAACCTTGGCCAATTTTTACATTTTGTAATAGATCCTTAATCATATTTCAGGCAAATGACTTTTAGCTTCTATCATTATTGTTATTGCTTCTAACATTATTATTGCTGATTAATTGCTCATCAATAATATATCATACAAAGAGTACCTAACCTCAATAATACAAGGTCATTAAGGTCAATAAAACATTATACAAATTTACTTTTGGTATGAATGAAAATAAATGGACCATTCGATGAATACATAAGTAATAACACAAATTAAATATTGTATTTAATTAATATAAAATTATATAATAATATAAATTAAATATTAAATAGTAAGAGTGTCACTTTAACAAGTGATAGTTTCAGATTGCTAAGAATATAAGCTAAGGGCACAGGATTTCTTGCAAGAACTTAATACTTTTTACAATTACTAAGAGAATAATTTTCTTAAACTACCTACTTGGTGACAATGATTATGACATTGCAAATGACTAAACATAATTGCTTGAAAAATTTTATGGAAGTAAAAATGTATACTAAATAAATGTTTTGGGGGAAAGCAAAAAGGTATAAGTTATAAATATTTTTTGTCGAAACAACCACTTTATCCTACATATAGAAGTACCGTACACAATGTTTTTAAAACATCAATAATGAAACAATAAAATACAAATTATTTTAATTTTTATGTACTTACTCAGCCATTATTACTTTTGAATTTCTTTTAGAGCTAGAGTTATCCGAGAAATTATGATTTTAAAAATACTGTTTAGTTCACAAGTAAACTAAATGCAATGATTTAATTCAGATTGATAAATATGTTCAGTTACAAGCTTATTTAAGTACTTCTTGCTACTCGGTATTTACTTTTACTAAGTTTTAGATTTAAATTTTAACTTGATGCACGAGGTAGGAAAATCCGCTTCGTAATGTAGCTTCCAATAAAAAAAGAAAAGTACTCTGTGGTAGCTTCGCTTCTTTTAGGGGTTCGCACTAGGGAATAGGGATGTCGATCTAAAATCGATTAATCGAAAAATCGATTATCTGGAGTAAAATAATCGATTTTTAGATCGATTCGGAACACCGCATCGATTCGATGAATCGATCCAAAAACCTCTCGAATCTGATTCAAGAACTAACGATAAAGTTCCTAAACTGGCTGGGGTAAGATACCGCAGTTTTTAATTTTTTGCTCTTGGCAGACGCAAAAACAACTAGTCGTACTTGGTTGATGATATGAACTCAACATATATTTGAATAAAATAAATATTTATGATCGCATCCAATGATATCGAAAAGTTGTTTTTCATTTCTAAAATTCTAATTCTAATCCATTCTAATCAGTGTTGCCAACTTGACGGGGTTCCCACTAGATTTGACGGGTCAGCGAGGTTGGCAACGGGAAAAAATTGTGTTAAACACAATTTTTTCGTGTTTAACGGCTAACATATTTTTAACGGGACGGAACTCTTTGGTAGATTGAATTCTGAAAAATAATCCATGTGTGTCAAGAATCGAAAATCCCTACTTGACGGGTAGACTTGTCGTGTTCTCTACAACGGGAACTAAATTTTAATGTTGGCAACATTGATTCTAATCTTAACTGTGGACTGTGGGTCTAACTTAATCCATTCTGTGTACAAAGACCACAATATATATTAATATATTATAGCTGTGTACCTGTGAAAATATTACTTTAATTATTATCAAAAATATAATCACTGTGAGCTATGAGCATGGACAGAGTACTTTTTAAAAACCTATATACTATAAATAAATATTGTATGTTTGAGTTTATAGGGGTTTATAGTTACGAAATAACCAGTATTGTTTTCAGGTAGCATTCATTTCAAATATAAATAGTGAGTTATTAGATTAAAATCGTTTTATCGAGAAATATACGTAGCAATCTGCACTTTTGTTAATGTATTGTTATTCTTTTTAACCTAAAATTTCAACTAAAATAATACATGGATCACTTTGTAAAAAAGGGATCGAACTTCGTCGTCGTCGTCGTATGCAAGTATTGTCATAACGAATTCAAAACATGCGGAAATACAACAAATTTACGCAACCATTTATTACAAAGACATCCATGTATTAAGTCTGTCGAAACTCTATACCATGGACTATAGAAGTAACGCTCAATATTGTATACTCTAAAAAGATTAACTAATTGTAGTTTTTACGACCCTCCAATTAAGGCAGGCAAAGGTCAGACATAGGTCATACAGCCTAATTTGATGTGAATTTTACTAACATCAAACAAAGATGTTAACTAAGAGGGAATGCCCCACAGCCTGTAATTGTGCATAAAACAAAAGTTAAATGTAATTATAAAAGTTCAATTTAAGAAAAATCGCAAATTCTGGAAACAGTGTTTGGAAATGTCGCGATTAATCGAACGTTGATCTTTTAATCCTTGATAATCGAATCTAGAATATTCGATTCGGACCGATTCAGAGATCGATTTTTTAAGAGTGAATCGACATGCCTAGTTTGCACCGGAGCAGTGAGTACAAGAGAATCACCGGTGATTTACCGGTAGAAGTACTCGATTTAAATCGGAGATTAACCGATGAAATGATTGTATTCCATCTTAAATAACTTTTTAATACATAAAGCAACAAAAAAAAATAAACAAAAGATTTATTAATCATTTTTTTTTAAATATTTAACTATATTTATTGCATATATTTACTAATTTACTTCTTTTAATAAACTCAAAACGCTCTAGTCCGTTTGTGTAATCATTCACTTGCTACTAGTTTTCCAAATAATTTTTAATGTAATTGACAGTATAACCGCCACACAAAGAAAACTGGCCCAAGCATCTACTATTAATAGGCCAGAAAAAGAAAACATATTAAAAGATATGGTACTTTTGCTAGATGTATTTGAGCAAGTCACTCAAATGATAAGCGGAGACCAATACTCAACATCCAGTTTAATAATACCAATTATTTGTAGTCTGCTCGATAATATTCAAGGTTTGGTCCCCATAATCTCTACAACGGTTAGTGAAATAATTTTGCACACCTACATTGAAAAATATATGAACGATCGATTATTGGGTTACGAATCTATAACTGTTTGCCAAATTTCTACCATACTGCATCCCGTTTTCAGGAATAGTTTTAGACAACTGAGAAATAAATTGGCTGCTAAAGAAGCTGTAAAGGCAGAGATTAACAACATTTTCCGGGTCAGAAACGTACCTCAAAGTACAGAAGAAATAGTCATGTTAAGTGTAAGTACAAACGAAATAGGTCGCCCGGATTTATTAGGATTTCTAAAAAAAAGAATACCAATAATGCAGATACAGAAACACAGTTTCCAGAAAAAAGTTATTACTGGGATGATGTGGTGCAATTTTCGAAGTTTTATAGACATTTAAAACCTTTGGACGAAATAGCTTTTAAATACCTAGCTGTGCTGCAACTTCTGTTCGATCAGAGTATTTTCAAAGACAGGTCACATACTCAATAAGAGAAGAAATATGTTGCGCCACGATGCTCGAAGAACCGACACGACAACCGTTGGGGGAAAAGTTCACTATTGGCAGCCTCGTACCGATAGGCGTATTGTAGGGCGACTCCCATTAGATGGAGTGACGACCTGGTAAGACATGCAGGAAGTCGATGGATGCAGGTGACTCAGGACCGTGCTCTGTGGCATTAGGATGCCTATGTTCAGCAGTGCACTTGTGAAGGGCTGTAATGATGATGATGATGCTATTGACATGTTGTGTTTTCTTGCTCAAAATTTTTTATATCTTTAAAACATATGATTTTAATAAAATTATGAATGAATAAAAAAGAGTGTTTGTTTACATCATAATACAATATATTACAACATACATGGTACATTTGTTTTCTAGGGAATCGTGCTGTCAAGTCATTAGAACAAGTAGCCCTATTCTGAAAACTGAATTCAATCGATTGTCAAAATTCCGCTCCGGTGCAAACCACTGGTAGCTTTTCCGTATATACACTTATCTATGGGTAGCTTAAGGCCTGTATCCTATACCTTTAAACGAGCAATATATATATATATATTTATATATACTGCTTGGCTTGACCATAGGTTTGACTAATTGGTTTAATAATCTGACATTTCAGTAGTGGTTAATCTTATTACGATATACGCTTAAGATTAAATCTTAAGCATGTACAATCTGGAGTAAATGGACTAAAATAGTATAATTTTCATTATTTCAATCAGAAAAAAATTGCGTGATATTAGCCGAGACCCCCATCTCTCCAACATACCATTAGATGAGATTTGACTTGACCCCCTCCCCCCTTAAACATCTCACGTAATTTATGGACGCCCCCTTATTCACACCGGACAAAATGCTGTTAAGCACTTTGGTCAAGCGTGCATAAACACGTCGCAAAGTGACTGTTTAATAACCAACTCGTCGATGCCGATGTTCTATTATTATTAGATATTATTATTATTACCTAATAGATAAAAAATGTTCGAGAAGTTCACTGCAAATCTCGATTTTTGGAAATGTGTTTTACACAAAGTGCTCGAATATGTCGTCACCCATTTGATAAATATTGTAGACACTTTAAAGACATACTTTAACCACAGAATAAATTATAGTCTTTAACACACTTTGAAGCGACAGTAGTCTAATGGCAGGGCGCGAATCGCGAACTCAAAAGGTCATGGGTTCGAATCCGCCATTTGACTATTTGACTACTGTCGTGAACCGCTCCTAACGAGCGTTTCAAGCTTACCAGGAGAGGTTAAAAGGAATATTAGTAATGTTAATCAATAAGATTACTAATATTAAAAAAAAGAAACACACTTGAAACGTCTAAAAATTTTCTACAATGCTAATCGAATAATACAAAAAGCGTGCATATGAAATAAAAAGCGTGCAATAATATCTGTTACTGCTTAAGAGCCCGAGTATCTCTGAGAGAACTGTTTAAAGAAATTGATATCTTGACTTGCATCACAATGTATTTTTGCAAGTAAAGAATAGTGGTTTGCACAATTTTAATAATAGAAATAAAAACAAAATCTCATTACCTGCTTTACGATTACACGAAGTCCTACAATTCGTTCTTGGGTAGCGGTATACGCTTTTATAACAAAATTCTAAAAGAAATGTTAGATTTTTCAGCTTTTCAATTTAAGTCGCACATTAAAGCTTGTTTAGCCAATATCTTAATGACAAAGAAACTTGGAACTCACCTCTCGTACTACACAGAACTCTAGAAATGTCTATACCGATTGGTATCTACATATACATTAGACATTTTTTATGTTTGATTTATCGCTTTACATAAATATAGTGCTATTAAAAATATTTTGAATACAGCAACTACTGAGTTTTTTAACTTTCTTCCATGATTCTTATCAGTAGATACAGCACCCCTAAACATGGAAAAGAAAAAAAATTGGGGAAAACAGTAATTACATGACTATTCAAAAGTGCATTTTTAATGCCTACTTGAATTAAAAATAATTAAATTTTGAATTTCAGATGAGTGAAGTCATATTTGCGCATTTTGTGTTTCAAAATCACACCCTACAAAAATTTGATTAAAAGTGTCAGTTTATTAACTTTTATCGTACTCTAGTAGTTAGTAAGTACCTAGATAAATACAGCAAGTAACGTACCTAGGCAAAATTAATTACGTAGATTAATTCCATCACAAGAAGAATATTATATACACAATTCA